TTTTTAAAAATGTATTAAGGTATTCACCTCACACCGTCTTAGGGACGCTGATCATTGCTTTGATTCGGTTTACAGCAGAATTACCATCAACCAGAATGTATCCTCACGTTTCATCCTATAAGGAGATCTATATCATCAGCACGGTCATGCACTTAACACACTTAGATACGATTACGAATCGGCAGTGTAATATATGTGGCTTATTCGGTATAAAAAAACGCCCCAATAGGACTCAAGAAATCTTAGAATATTTGATAAGTAGAGTTTCATATCATATAACTGATTAACTGTTAGTCTCGAAACCCTACTTATGAATGAAAAAATACATCTTTGCTTAATCGACAATCCAACTATGGATATGATTTGGGAAAGGCTTGTCATGCCTTGAATATGATCCACTGGTAGTTGTGGTTATGTAGTGGAGCGATAACGTCCCAACGATACTCATAACCCTGGATCGAATCCCGCTGGTGGAGCTAATGAGACTTAGGCGAAGCCAAAATTGCAGTCGAATCTGGCTGAGATGAGATAATCTCATCGAAAACAGAGCTAAGTGAAATCTAATGGCATGGCGAGGCCTACTAACCTCAATGTGGGAGCACTCAACGATCAGTCCTTAAATCACCCTAAGAGATCCAGACTGAATAATTTCTTATTCAAGAATTACTGATAGTCTAGAAGTACACTTATACTGAAAACAAATAAAATTGTAAATACAATGAATCTGCAAAATAATAGCATAAATAATTCAAGCAGCATTTACATCGCTCTCCTAGTATATTCAGATGCAACTCTAAACAACCATCAGTTCTCAAAGCATAGTGTCTTCAATGGGAATAAAATAGCAAAAGACAATTTGAAATGTGGACTTACATGAGCAATCTGTTGAAGAGCCTGTTGAGTTGCGACGGGATCACGTAGGCACCAGACCGCCCTATCGGTGACTAAAACGATAAGGCCATCCTGCCAACGAGCCACACGCATGTTCAACAAACTCTCGGGCTCTAGCCACACGCGGCCAGGGCATGCGATCGCCAATTCCTGGCTGGCCGATAAGCACTTATTCACCCCGAAGGCTAGATAAAGGTCCGAAGAATAATAAGGAAAAGACATAGAGACACGTGAGCATATCGTGAAAAGTTCATGAGCCGATTGGAAAATTATCTTAGCCGCAAAGGAGCGTCGAATAGACTTGACATTCCGTGCTTTTTTACCTAAACATCTTGTATACTTTTGAATGTGATGGGATGCAAACATGAAAAGCTAGCCTCGCACTCATGACTAATTAAAAAAGTCATTTTCATAAATAGATGCTTATGGAATACAATCACTCTTGTGGTTTAGGGGACGCAAACAGGCCGAAAAAAGTGTTGGTTCGACCTTGTTTTGGCAACTTAGCAAAGTTGTGACTTTGTGTTTAAGATGGGGCCTCTCACTGACGATGCCGGAG